AATTATGTTATGAGTACAGTGCAAAAACAAAAGACAAAAAAAAGACAAAAAAAAAAAAAAAACAAGAAAACAACAACACAGTTAAACCAGGTTTAATACTCTAATTTTGTTTTTATACACATCAATGTCCATGAAGTAAAAAATACAAAGTTGGCAACATAATCAACATTAACTCACTGAGTTTAATTATTATACAAAGTGTTTAGATAATCACTGGACTTTGGACTGCATTAACTATGAGTATATAGTGTTACTAAACAATCTGTTCTCCATTTAAGCAACAGAGCGGGGATTAAAAAGCTGGAACTGTTAGTGTGACTTTTGTTTTTCCAAGCCAACGAACAGCCGTCCAAACTTTATGCACTTTTTGCTGGGAGGAAAAAGTGCTTCATAAATTGATTAAAATACTAATACTAAATTAAATTTCACACATTAGGTTTCCAAAATGATAAGCAGTGTTTATGCAGTAACAGTTTGATGTTCTTATTTGAATTGTCAAAAACTTAACTTAACTAAATTATACTAAAAACATATATTAACAACATAGAAGTTGGCTTTGTTGTTAAAGCTAATACGTTCATGTTAGAGCCAAAATAGAAAGGGACAAAAGCCAGCTTTGTGCTTTAATTCTAACATTTCGTTTTTCACTTACTGGCAGTAATTCACTGACAATCATTCCATATTAGTATGTTTAAACGAAAGAATGAAAATAGGAGTTTAACTATTATGTATTGATTGATTCAGAGAGAGTGTCCAGGTAAACTAATACTAAACTCACTGTTTAAGTCTAAGCAGCTTCAGACCTACACACAGTAGAAGCTTTTTAAGGATCAGTTAAACATTCCATGTCAGTGTTTTCCCTACAATTACATTGGGGGGCGCTAGATGGATGGATGGATGGACAGATAGACATATACCCTAGGAAAACACTGCATGTCTAACAGAATGCTGTAATACAGATACACTAGCATTCATCTTTTTTTTAAATTGAAAATTGGATTATTGCCTTTTCTCCATTTGCATGTTTCAGTTTAACACTACTGTTGTAGCATATTCTGCCAATGTTTTCCTCCTGAATCCAAGTATTCCTGAATCATTTTTCTATGACGTACATGAACCTATTTCTTTTTATAACCAAGAGAAAAGAGCTGAGCTGGAGAAGAACTCAACATAGTACATTTTTAGTAAGTTGAAAGATCATTATTGGTATTACTGGTAGTTAGTTATTCAATTTTAATTCTTGGTTAAAGTTATAACATCAGTGAGTTGACTAGCGGTAACATTCCTCTCATTATCTTCTGGGTCTGGTGTTTGTTATGTCTCTGGGATTGGCTTCAGTCGACAAACGACCCTGAAAGGATTAAGTGGTTGAAGATAAATGATGAATTAATTATTGTCTTTATTAAAATTTCCTTTTGTTTTTGAGTAAAAATTATTTTACTTGCAGAAAAGCAAGTAAAGACAAGGGGGGGGGGGGGGGGGGGGTGAGGGATTAAATGGTTAGGAGATGCAATCTCCCTGGATTTCTTGAGGATTAATGATATTTCACTTCATGACTTGAGCCTGACAAAAAGAATGACTAATTTATTGCCAGGGGTTATTGCTGCGCTAAGGTCGTGTAAATGCTAAGAGGTTAAAGGTTATCTCTACCGTGTCATGGTAATTCAATAAAACCCTTGTGGTAAAGAAAGGAAATCCTCCAGAAAAAGTGACCTGTGAACTCACACTCTGAACACACTGTAATTGCATGTATTCAGGGGAAAAATCACTCACAGTTGCACAGCAACAAATGATGCACAGCCACAAGAAGGGCATAGCTGTGATGAATGTGTGTCATACAGCAGTCTCCACGTCTTTTTTATTACGTTCTTCTCCATCTCCAAGTGTTAAACAAAGACCTGAGATTAAACAGCTCTCCTTCACACCGACTCATTAGTCTCTCTTACTCTCTCTCTCTCTCTCTCTCTCTGTGTTTTCGTGATCAGTCTCTCCTCTGCCTCTCATTCATCCAGGGCAAGGTCATACGAGACAAAGCAGCGGGATAAAGAGGAGGATGAGGAAAGATATTAGAAGAGTGATGGACGATGCTGCAAGGACTCTCACAACAGCCCGGCTGCCAATGCTGCTCAGGCCGCAGATGGATCTATCTGCATTCATATGCAGGTGTTTGCAAAGAGACACAAAGCAAGGGACTGGACCACAACAGAAACGTGCTTCAGTACATCTGTGTACAGTACATCAGACTTTTGGGTCATACACTTGCAGCATAATAAGAAGAACGGCATCAAAGTTTTCTATTCCCAAAGTATGGCCGTCTCTACTATTTGGTGATTGCATTAGACTTTCATCATATTGCTAAGATGTCTGGTGTTTTGAGTGTGTGTGTGTGTGTGTGTGTGTGTGTGTGTATGGGTGGCATACGTATAGCTTTACTTGTAGGGTCATTTTTTGTTAGATGGACACTCTGTCGTTGTGGGGACATTTTGATGTTTAAGATTTTGTTTGGATGTGGGATTAGAATAAGAGAAAGGATTAAGGTAAGGCACACGTCTGTAATGGTTAAGGTCGAGGTAAGGGACGCATTATGTCCTTGTGAAGTCCTCGCAACTCATTAAAAGCTGACTCAGTGTGTGTATGTGTGTGTGAGGATTAGAAAGAAAAGAGAGAGAGAAGAACAGGCAAAACCCTAAAGTCTGAATCCTGAAAACAAACCATTCATCTTACCTTTCTTATGCTCTCCTGGGCATCAATCCCAGAGCCCCTAGTGAGTGTGTGTGTGTGTGTGTGTGTGTGTGTGTGAGTGAATGCTTGTTTGTCTTCAAGTGATGAACATAATCTCTATTCCAGTAGAACAATACTGTTCCTAAATAGAACGTGTAAGGCATTCAGGGCCTTTCTCCGACACAGTGTATGTGGTAACAAACGCCTGTTCTCAGGGGTCACAATACATGGTAAGAAATGGAGCATCTGCTGCAGGTGATAGTGAGCGCATGTGTACGTACCACTGTGTCTGTGTCTACGCGGCGGTGCGTGCTCAATTAAATGCCATTCCCAGCGGTGTTCCAAGTTTAAGCGACATCAATCAGATTCTTATTCTCATTCCTGGGCAGGTGGCAGCGAGCATCTGGGTGATGGCTGTTGGTTTGGCCCCTGGCATCACCTCTGCTTCAGGACCTTTGAGACCTGCTCCCCTACATCTGCAAGCTACACATGTCTGGAGCTAATTCACACCTGGACGCGTTTGCGGCGTTCCAACCACAACATCCCTGAACGTTTCTGCTAGCGGCTCACTGTACTGTAAGAAGCCCCACACCTGTTAATTAGCCAGGAACAACAGAGACCCTGCAACCTGGCCCGGAACCCAAATCCATCATTAGAGCCAAATGAGACACAATTAATAAAGAATGGAGAGGAGTTGATGAAGGTTGACTGCTGAAAACCAAGTGTATAAAACAGTGTAGCTTAACATTCTTCCACTGCACTGATTAATGAAAATCCCCATTTTACAGTTTCAGACCAGCCTGTTCAGAGTAGTGCGCCCCCCCCTGGTTATTTACAGGCAGCTGCAACAGACTGGCTCCATCTCCTTTTTACAGCTTTACAGCTATGATTATTTGAATACTATTTAATTAAATAAAAATTAAAAAGTTCAATATACGATGGAGATATATAAACCTGGGACAAACTGACTCAGAGCCATGCGACACCAGGTTGTTTAATTCTCCCTGTCACGGCCCCTAATGATCACTTTTTCAAATTTTTTCAGAATATCAATAACGTTGTGGTTGATTTCCTCACACATCCTTCTCTCTCCCCTCTCTTTCACTCTGTGTCCTGTGTTCTGATCAGAGACGGTTCCTCCAATCACATTCAACTTAAGACTTTTCCCAAAATTAAGACACGTCTTTGAACAAAAGTGCAACTGAGCATCAGGAAACCAATCACCTTATCAAATAAAACGTTATCTGTTTGCGACTGTCACTCATGTGCAAATCACTTAGGATTAGAGCTTGAGTTTTTGCACAAAATGTCTACAGTGGATTGTTGAAATGTATTTTGCAGTAGTGAGAGAGCTGTCTGCACCAGGAATCTGTCACTTCGGCGCATTACATATTTGTAAAGATTTAGTACTAATAGGAAAGACAAGAACAGAGCTAACACCTGTGCATTCCCTTCTGTTACAAGCCACAGTGTCTGCTGTAAAATTCTCTATTGGACATAATGAGCAGCAGGATTAATTTCTTTTTGAGTAATAAGTTAATCAAAGTGTGCGAATTAGCAGTAAGGGGATCGACTTAAAATAGTCCATTAATCACACTTATTGTACAAACTGGGTGATATAATGACACCGTGCTGATGAGTTTTTTTGCCATTGGTTTTATGATTTGGGAAAAAGAGTCTGGTTCCAGTACATCTCCACACCATTCTCTTTGTGAGTGTAGATAAAAGAAGGAAAAAGACATACAAAGAAGTGTCACGCTAGTCACCTGTTTTATTTAGTCAAATCTCAGAAAATCTTCTTTAACCCATGCTCTACAACAAGGGTCACCAACTATATTTCTCAAAGAGATGGATTTATTTCTGGACACATTATTTGATGTTTATTTTGGATTCAAATTTAGGGCCTGATTGGACAGTACAGTGGGCCGAATTTGGCCTGCAGGCCACCAGTTGATGATCACTGCTCTATAATGTATGCCAATAACTGGGCCTTCAGAGGGCCTCACTAATTATTTCGATCGTAGTAACGTTTTAATCCATAGGCAGATGGAACGCCCCACTTTAAAATACATTTTTGTTAAACTACAGTTTAACAGTTTTAAAATCTGATGATCACTATCAGCCATTTTCAAAAGTTCAAACCTTTGAACATTCCTCGCATTTAAAGGAAACACAAGCAGATAAATGATAACACAAATACTCGGTTCTAACTAAAAACTGCACTGTTTTCCCTTTGGTTGTGCCCTCTTTGAAAAGAGGTTAACTCCTAACGTCCTTACCTTTTCTCCTGGAGTCTCGTCTGATGCTGCCGGGCCTGACCGCTGGCTGTAGCTCCGTCTCTGTTGACATTCTTGACGTCCAAATGGGCTGGACACCACTTGGCTCTGCTGGGATCTGACGGTCCAGTTCACAGCGTCAGTGTCGACTGTGCGTGCGTGGGCGCCGGCTGTGTGTGTGTAGGCGCCAGGTGTGGGTGTGGGCACACAGGCTCATGGGAGAGAATGGGCCTTAGCCCTGAGACAACATCCCACACACACCCACAGAGAGCTGCAGAGAAAAGGGGAGAAAAAGATTTGCCTCCATTAGTTTGTTTAGTCTTGGCAGGAGAAACCAAACGGGAGCGTGTTTATGATTGGGGACCTTGAGTGGATATCACCCATGGTAACAAAAAGAACTGCACTTCCTTCTTCCGGTCGATAATGTTGACAAGGACACTGCTTGAGGAACATACTGATGTCTCTCTACTACAGTCCAATCCTCTTCAATGTTGCAGCTTTGAGTCACACATTAAAAATAAGAGATTACTGTGTGCTGCATAGTACACTGTAGAAAACATGAAATACAACTACAGCAGCAGGCAAAGCCTAATAACTTCAACGCAGAAGGTTTTCACTGGGACTTCCCTCATATTTGATATCAACCTCTGTTTGGGCAACATGCTAATTAGTGTGGTGAGAGCAGCAGCATTTTTACAAACCAACTAAGTTCTAGTGCACCTGCTATTTGTGTATGAAAGGCTCTCCCTCTCTACGAC